CGCCATCACGCTGCCACCGGATATCGACGGAATCTTGTTGACGTCGAGGACATCTAGTGGTATGCTAAAGGCCTTGTGCACCGTCATCCCTCTGGGCAGGAGTTGGGCGGCTACTCCGGTGCTCGCCGTCATGATGACGTACCTTCTGTATTTGATGAACATGTCGATGATCGTTTTGTAAACGAACGTCTTGCCCGTGCCTCCGGCACCGTTCATGAAGACGAGTCTCGGCGTCGTGGCGTCCGACGGCGAACTTTGCATCGCTCGAACGACGATGTCTACGACGATCTTTTGCTCCTCGTTTAGGCGTAGGTAACTCGCCAAAGTGGCGTAATTGCCTATGTCTTCGGTCTCTATGGCGTCGTCGTTTCTGCGTTGTAACGGAAACTCCGCCAGTGTAGGATCAGACTCGTTTTCGCCGTCCAGTGCGCGATTTTGGCCGAAGAAAAACTCGTTTTCGTCGTCGCAAACGGCGTTGTAATTTTCCGGCATCGGAATGTGAAAGAACGCGTTGTTCGTGAAGTGATGCCCGAGCAGTCGATTGAGTAGACAAAGAGCTATGTTAATTCTTCGCGACCTTTCTATCTCGTCGTTCTGTCGCAAGTTTCTCGTGTCGTACATGTGCGGCAAAAACTCGTTCCACAAAGCGAGCGGATCGGCGACGTAACCGAGCAGTAAGATTTGGGCGAACAAATTTCTCATCGTTCTCGGATTTCCTACGTTGCTAGCTTCGAACAGGGTTCTGCGCCAGATTTCGATGTCGTCCAGAAGACCCATCAATTTTGCACATTCGACGAACGTTTTACAGGGCGTCGTGCTATTGGGAGGAGTTTTCAAATCGTCCCAGCCCAGCGGGCCCTTCTTGTAAAGCAGCAGTTGATATAAGGCGAACTTTTCTGTATGATTGGGCAAAACGGGATACAAACGACCTACAATTTTTCTTTCTCGTTTTCTCTTTTGCCATCGGTTGGTCTTTTGGTTAAACCAATGCGTTTCCGGTAGTTGGGCGAAGGTGACGTTTCGAATTTCGCTTATTTGCTGTCGCGACTCTTCCAAACATTGTTTCATGAACATCTCGAGTTGCGAAAGTTTCGCGTTGCCTTCGAATATTTTCGCTTTGACTTTGTCTTCCGCGCCGCGTCTAAAATACTGCGGTCCTTCGCCTTCCAGGTGTACGTTCAGACGATAAACGGTGTGGGACATTCGAATGATGCGCCAACTGTACAGTCTCGCGTACGCCGTATCGCCGAACGATAATGACCCTTCATGATGCCTTGCGTCTCGTCGTAATCCACGACGTCGGTATTGCCCTCGGCGATCTGGACGTATGCAAAGTTTCCCATCTTGAAATGATACTTGATCAGATATTTGCAGGCAGCGTCTCCGTATGCGAATTCTACGTTCGAATGAGCACCTAACGCCAAAAGGTAAGCTGGATTGTACGGAACTACCCAAGCATTCGTTATTACTCGACCGTTTGTCGTGCGATGAAAGGTGCCGCCATCGTCGGGTGATCTGCGTTTGTATACGGCCGGTTTATCTTCGTAAATTATCGTCACGTTCGAGTATCTCTTTGGAAAACCTCTCGAACACTTTTTCTTTTCGTTTAGGCAATGAAAGTTGCAGGTGTGAATTTGCAATTTTATCACCAAATCGTGTAGCCTTCTTTGCATTTCGGCTTTTTCGCTCTTGTCACTCGCCGGAGGTAGTACCGGTATCTCCGCCGAAATGTATTCGTCGACGAATTCGGGCGTATGAGGACAATCGACCGAAATCAAGCGATGAGTGTGAGGACCGCCTCTTTTTTGGAATTCCAATGCTTCTAGAAAAGCCTTCGGTTTACCGAAAATGTGTTTCTTTTCTATAAGGTCTCGCATCATGTTAATCTTGATCGCGAATACTCTACATAATACGTCGGGACGATCGACGACGTTTTGATTTTTCATCATGCTGTTTTTGACCTCTTTCCAGGTCGGGTTGCTCGTCGTCGTAATCATAAAAGTCGGTCTACCTATGCGTTGAAACATCGCCATCGAATCGTGGAAGTACTGTTGATACCACGCGGGAGAACCGACGACGCTTGTCGTGAGGCGCAACACTTTCCCTAACGTTTTATTCGGATCGGTTTTTCTGAGTTCTCTTTGTAAATAATCACGCACTTCCGTCGCCGTGGTGAACAAAGTGTCGTAATTTTTCTTAATAAATTCGTAGAGTTGTTGATCCACCTTGACGCTTTGATCCAACATATACTCTTGGGCTATGTTACCGTACGGAAATAAAAAGTGCGTTTCTCCCGTCGGTTCGTCGCGAATCGCACAATAGTATCTGTAGAACTCTCTCATCGAAACGTTGTCGTTCTGAACGGCTTCGTCATTGTAAAAGGCGTCCGGTTGATTTGCATTTTCTGCGTTTTCGTCGACTTCAGTTGCGGTACGTCGTCTTTTCTTTTGTACGACCTTTTTTATATCGGGATGATATCCGTAATCTCCGTTTGCCAAATTTAAGACGTAATGACTACAATCGTTTAATCGGTCGTATATCGGAAGCATATGCGTTCGTCCGTCTTTCTTTTTCAAAAAAGTTCCGTATCGGTAGATGGGCTCCTCGCGTTCGTTGGAGACGTAAAACGCGCATATCTCGTTAACTTGCGGTAAGTTGACAGCACGAGGATGGAGACTTGCATCGACCGCCTCGCGTGGCACTCTCTTGGGATCGACCAATACCAAAGTGACGTGTTGAACGTCTTCCAGACCTTGCTGTCGGGCCTCGATAAGTTTTTCCATGTACATCGTGTGCATGATTTGAAACGATTCGCAAAGCGGATGGTGTCGTCGAAGAGAGTATTCAGTATCTCGCGTTTGATGCCGAATTTTTGGAATAGCGAGTTCTTCGAAATCGATTCTGCCATCATCATCGGATCTAACATGTACAACTGACCGTGTACCGGCGTCTTTCCGTCTGCTGTGAATAGCGGGCTAATGTGTCTTTTTATTTCGCCATTAATTAAGATAACCGGAGGACCTTGTCCTGGAGATGCCTTTCGACCGGCTTCTACGCTACCAAACTGTAGTAGTTGGTTGTAGATTCGGAAGTATTGTAGAAAGTGTTTTCCGTGTTTGGGATCTTTGGTCAAATTTCGAATTTCCTCCGGAACGGGTTGTATCGGTGGCAATTTGACGTCACCATTCTTGCAACACATCATGGTAGTTTCATTTTTAAACAGGAGCGCTTTACAATGAGGACACACCTTGTCGCCGATTTTTCCGCAATCTAAATATTGGATGTCGTGGCCGGCGCATGTTGCAAAGCATCCGTAAACGCCGTGTTTCTTGTTGCAGTATCTTAAACTTTTTAATTTACTTTTCTTAACATTGCTCGGCGTTTCCGGTCGACTGCTTGTAGATGATCTAGATCTGGTTGATCTTCTACTACTTGTCGAAGATGTGGATCGCATGCTGATGTCAGAGTCGTAACTATCGTTTGCGCTTGAACGTGCTGCTTCCTCGACAACTTCCATGACCTCGTCGTCAACGGTTTCTGAATAATCGAATGGATTATCCGGTCTCGGTTCGTATATCGGAACGACGTTGTTGCATAATTCTCTTAGTAATTCCGATATTCTACGGCGTTCCGTCGCTATGTTAAAATCTGCCAACAGCATTCTCTTGTCGTTCATTAAGTATGTTTCGACGTAAAGGGAGACGTAATACCCGCAATTGTAATCGTCACCGGTCTGTTGTAGATTGTAAGCGGTCGCACTTGCGATTTCTACGTTGATCTCTTCGTCATTACGGAACGACGCGTCGTAATAGCGAATTGCAGCTTTTATAGCGGGCAGGTACGTTGCACCTCGATGTCCTTCTAAATTTTTCATCGCAGGTATGGGGTCGTAAAATATTGTTCTTCCGTTTCTTTCGTGAATTACCAAAGCAAAATGGCCCGGGAAGAAGATCGGAATAAACATAACTTCGAAATTTTCAGGATTACCCCAAGTTCCTTCGTTCGGAAACGATTGTCTTCCTTCACAAACGGCTATCGTGTAGTGGACGTTTAGGACGATGGACTTGCATTTATCGTACGCCATATACGCCAGGTAAATTATAATGCCGAATATGCATTCCACGTCCAATTTTGATCTCGCATTGTAGTATCCCTCCAAAAAATTTTCGTTGCAGAATACGTAATAATCGTCCATAATGTAGGGCCTGGTAATGTCGTTAATCGTTGGCGGTATACGAAGTTGAACTTCTGCATTTTCTGTCGGCGTTAGTTGGAGGGCTTCTAGTAACGCGTCGCCAAATCTGTCAAATTTACAATCGTCATCGGTTGATTTTCGGGTGGTATCTTGAAGGGGCGGCGGAGGCATCAAAATTTGCGACAGACGTACGGTGTTCTCCGGTAGCAATATATTTTGGAGTATGTTTATTTGCTTCTTGCTAGGAGGAGGCGGCGGACTATCTGACGACAAACGGGACTCTTCTCTCTCTTCTTCTACAATCGACGCATTCTTTTCTTCTTCCCTTTTACGTTTTGCCGTCAATAATTTTAAAGCGTTACCTTTTAAACATTTTTTTTTAGATGAAACACAATTTTTATTTGAATTAGAAGAATTTGCCTGAAAATAAATAAGCATCTGTAATAAAAATTAAAATGCGCGGATGATACATTTTTTTATATTAGTTATTTTAAAAGTTATTTTTATGATCTTCTGAGAAACCTTGATAAATGATATTTCCTTTTCTTTTTTCCTTTAAACTAAACCGTCGATAGAAGAAAAAAGTAGTTTCGTTGGTTTTGACGTAATGGTTTTTAATTTTGATGAGAATCTTGATATGTTGTAAATTTTTTGTGATTTTTGAATGAAGAAATTTTTCTTGTTTCTTGAAAAAATTTCGTTGGTTTACGTCTTGATGATGCAATGTTGTTTGATTTTGATGAGAATCTTGATAAGCTGTAAATTTTTTGTGATTCTTGGATGAAGAAATTGATGTTTTTTCTTGTTTCTTGAAAAAGTTTCGATGGTTTACGTCTTGATTTTGATGAGAATCTTGAGAGGTTGTAAATTGTTTGTGATTCTTGGATGAAGAAATTGATGTTTTTTCTTGTTTCTTGAAAAAGTTTCGATGGTTTACGTCTTGATTTTGATGAGAATCTTGAGAGGTTATATATTTTTTTTTGATTCTTGAATGAAGAAATTGATGTTTTTTCTTGTTTCTTGAAAAAATTTCGTTGGTTTACGTCTTGATGATGTAATGGTTTTTGATTTTGATGAGAATCTTGATAGGTTGAGGCTGTTTAAGTTATCTTGATGGTTTTCTTGAACGTAATTAGATATATTCCAAACGTGCGGCAGAAACAATCATTTAAAAATTATAAATTCCTAATTCAATAGTTAATAATTACATGATTAACAAAATGATATGTTTCATTTTATATTAAGAATAAGATAAGTAATAAAGTTCAAACTTACGTCGTCCACCCTTTGATCAAGACTTACACCATTAAAGATGTTGGGAGGTTCTAAAATAAAGTACAAAATTAAAACATTGCCACAGTAAATCTATTAATATAGTTACATTGTACATGTTCTACATTGCAAAAAAATTTATTTGTTAAAAAATTATAGAATTTGATATAAATTCAAGTAGTGGCATCATTTGTAGTATGTAATGACTAATGAGTTAAATATCTTTGACTCAAATTCCAACAGGAAATACTCTTCCTTTATTTCTTCAATTTTAGTATAGAAATGTTAACATAAAATTTAATTTGGTTTATAATTTCCACTTATTGGTTTTATTTAAACTGTTTTTTTTTTGTTCCTCTTTGATAAAGATTAAAAATTCAATTTTTTTTTAAATCTTCCATTTATGTATTTGCTTAATATTTTAACATGAATTTGGAAAATAATCTGTCATGAATAAAAAAAATTAACTGATTCGAGGTGGTCTGAAAGCCTTTGACTTTAGATTTGTTTACGTAATCGATTGTAAAGTAATATATACAAACTAATTATTAATCATTAATGTTTTAGATATTTAAAATTATTTAGGTAGAAGTATTGCACATGTATTGAATTACGTTAAAACAATAGGTGTTTAAATAGAGCATTAGTATAACATAAGAAAAGTATGCTGATTGATTTGATACATATTGATACATTGTTAATTAGAAATCGTCATGTCTGTTATCAAGATCTCGTGGCTCAAGGCTGAAAGCAACAGGGATGGATTTTGAGAGTGGCTTTAAAAAATTTTTGAAATTATTTTCGCATGTACTACTACTTAATGTGGCATACAATATTCTACAAAAAAGTTCCATATTTATTTTTTAATAATATTTAATTGCAGTTTTATCAAAAGCACTTGCAATATAGAAAAATGATAAATACAAAAAAAGATGTATTTTGATGTTGATGAGATGTACAAAAAAGTATTATATAATTTTCCCTTGGGATCAAAATAAATGCCCAAGAGGTAAAATATAGTCAGAAAGTTAAAAATTTTATTAAAATTTGAACGTCCCTCCTAACCTTAAGCCACGGAATTTCGTTTGGCAAACATGATATTTTAATAATAATTTAATAGAAAATTTGATTTATTCTATATTTCATAGTATCAGATTGTAATTGTCAGATTCAATATTATGGATTCTTAGATCACTTATTACATCCTTTCAGGGCGATTGTAAAGATATAAATGAATTTTGTCTTATCTCGAGCCAGTGCAATCGTAATTTGAGTTTCAACCGGCAACACTTAAGCAGTCATAAATTGTGCCGTACACAAATATGCCGTGTACTGTGACTTAAGTAAACCATGTCCCATGTGTTTTAATGCATTGCTCCATATGAGAAATAATAATAATCAAGACTAAAGCTCGGTTTCACGTACAGTTTGTTATCAGTCCATGGACTTTTCGTCCTATTTGTACACCGATTATTATTAAAGGTCCCATTTACAGAACGATCCGTTGTTGCGATCGATCTGTCCAAAGCTTACCACTCACATACGAAACGATTGGTCGTTTACGATCGATTGCTTATTACTTATACTGAATCTAGAAAAGTGTGAGGTCGAAGTCGACCTGAGCCAAAAAATATAATCGTTGATCGCAATGAGCTATACATATAGATCGATCTGAAACGACGGATCGGACAGATAGATCGTACCGTGTATGGGGCCTTTTACTCAATACACATATACGATTATCATTGGAGGCTGTAGACCGGACCTATTTGTCACATTCGATATCAGCAGACCATTTTCATTCATCTCAATAAAACACATAGGTACAATTCACGAACTCAAAAGTTAAGTTTGTTGAACGTAGGCAGCGTTTCAAGAACTTGCATCGACAATTTTTAACGATATGAGAAATTAGCCAGCGGACTGCCTGTACGTGTACAATGAAAAGTGGTCGGCAGGCCAATTGCCTTTCCGACCAAAATTGTTTGGTGATACGTTACGATTCGAGTTTAGTGAGATAAGTGTTCCATAGAAGTAAACGTGTATACAAACTGAACATACCTGTGGAGCTATCAACCGTAACAGAAGATTCCTGGACTGCCTCTGAAAGTAGTAAAACCCTATAAGTGTATCACTACTAACAGTAAAAACACTCACCCTTGCTCTTTCGCCCCAGCATTTTCGCTAATGCAGCTCCACTAACCTTTCTACTCTTTTTTCTAGCCATATCTAGAAAGTAATCTCTTAATTAATCACAATAAACGCTATTAATTATAAAAAAATTTACCTCTAAGAAAAGTACGTAACGTTGCTTCTGGAAGCAGAGGTGTCGAGGCTATATCCTAAACCGGAAATGTAAACAAAGTAAAGGGTTCGAGATTAAAATATACATACTTAATTATTTGTCATTTGTTTTTATTGCGATTAAACAACTTATAGGTTATGTTTATTGTTTTGGATGTGGCTATAGTACCTATGATTTATGGAAATCACATCGATAATATACAGTGTATTTCAAAGAAATCACATGTACGCCTTTCATTACTTATCTTTTATGGCTGTATACATCGAAATAGTTTATCCGGGATTAGTTTAAGTGTAACTTAATATCCACGGTAACGTATATTGGGACAATGGTTGGCAATAATTTGCAGTTAGATTTAAGCTAAGCTCAGCTTAAATTTTTACGGTGCGTACGGCTATAAAAAAGTTTATTTTTGCGAATGCACAATTTGTACAATATATAGGAAAATTGCATTTTGCAGTAAGAGTTACATTGCGTTTAACTTAGGGCGAGACAGTAGAGATTGGGTTAGGTCAAAATGTGCAGTTAGATTAGATTGCGGTTAGGCTAGACCGAGACGACGGTGGTTATAGATTTGGTCGAATTGGGCAGTTAGGTTAAATTACGGATAAGTTAGATCGAAACGCGTAGTTACGTTAGATATCGCTTAGGTTAGATTTAGTCTAAATGCGTTATTGGGTTAGATCGAGAGTTACATCCGACCTTAATCATAACCTCAAACTTGATTGTGAACCTAACTTAAACCTAACCTACTCTACTCGTTCATTCACACGGATGCCTTTTAAAGGGCTTCTTTCTACATTCTGAAATCGTTATCGAGATATCGCGTTTTAACTGTTTTTTGTGGTGTTAAATTACAAATCACAATATCTCCGTTGTTTACCGTCCGATCTCGACGAAATTTAATATTTGAAAGTTTGTAGACTCAGGACATCCGTTCCCACCTTTTAGGGAATTCTATCTCCATTCCGAAATTTTGACCGTCCCATCGGTTAGATTAGGCCGAGAACGTTCTAAAGACACCCATGAACCCCTATCTACGACGGTCCGTTTTCGAGATATCGCGATTTAAGTTTTTGATAAAAAATTCAAAAAACGGTTTTTGCGTAGATCGTCTAGAAATGTCGCGAAACGCGTGATTCCGAAGTATCGAGGTCGCAGGTCGAAAGACGACAGAGAGGCGTCGATATCTCGAAAAGGGGAGGGGATAGGAAAAAATTGAAAATCCCATTTCGAGCCCCCGGCGGGGCGCAGCTACGGTTTAAATTTGGTCCAGATCGGCCGGTAAATAAGGGAGATATTAAGAGATGCGCGGCCCTTTAAAACGCATCCCTGCGCGTGGTCTAAATTTTTCCCGTGTTATACGTATAAGTTCGGAGATCGATCGCGTACGAGTAGATACGGAAGTGTATATATATAAATGAGTATATATATATATATATATATACCCGTTTGTGAAAAAAATTTTTTTTATCGACGTTTCGCGACCCGTTTGTTGTCGATGAGGGAAGGACACATTTGGGACGGTTCGCGCCGGCGGCGTCGGGTGACGTCGACAGGTGTCGCCAAAATGCGAATCTCGGTAATGGAAAGTCGCAAGAGAATATGATAGGTATTGTCGGAAAGCTCTCAACGCCGAGGTTACGATAGTTTAGGTTTAGTGTGGATCGTACTCCCAATTCCCTGGGTGGTCGAGGCGGATCGAAAAAAATTGTAAAAGTGACGTAACGTAACGGCTACGGATTCCGAAAGTACCGAGTCCGTAGGTAGTATAACTTCTCCTCCAGGTCCGAAAAGGTGTTTTTTCGCGTTTTTTTCACGTCTTACGGCAGCCCCCCCGCCGGTGGGCGATAAAAAATTCCAATGTACGCGGTTCGGCGCGGTCGTCCTCGGTACCCCCCCGGGCCGCGGCGACGTCCGCGTGACACTTACCTTCGGTCCTCCGGAGGGCGTTTTATGGGGAAAAACACGAAAAGGGGGGTGGCGCGGGGGGAAAACTGGTCGAGCGATTTGCCCGGTTTTTATATATTTTCATGTCCTCGACGTACTCGACGATTCTAGGAGTTTTCGTGAAAATCCTGCTTCGGGTAAAAAGTCGGCTTATTTGCTTATTGTATTTATTAATAATATTTACTGTACTTGGGATTCTGGATTCTGGATTCTGGATTACGATAGGAGGGTGAACAGTGTCCACGCGTACTTAGGCCTCAAATTCGGGCCCTTTGTACTACCTCCCTGACTAGGGTCGCCCGACCCCTCAACATCACTCAAGCCATCCCACACGTGAGATGAACCTTAGGACGCTGGAAGGGGAGGAGGCTCTAATCGTAGCCATGTCCGGCCAGGATTCCCCCAACATGGATCGTCTCAGTTGGACTAGAGCGGGACATTCACAGAGTATGTGGTATGCCGTCTCGTCGTCTGTGTAACATCCTCTACAAGATGGTGATTCCACCAAACCCATGCAGTGCATGTGCTTGTTTAGTTTACAGTGCCCAGAAAGTATGCCCACGAGTAACCTCAGGTTCTTCCTTGATAGCCCTGTACAAAAACGCGCCGGCTCTGGACCATAAAACGCCTGTTTTGAGGCCAGTCGGGCTAATTTATCGGCTTTCTCATTACCTTCCGTTCCAGCATGCCCTTTGACCCATACGAGTTCAAGGGTGTTGCTGCTTGCTACTTGCTCTAGTACGTGGTGACATTCGGAAACCATCCTAGAGGTAATTTTACAGTGACCAAGTGACTGCAAGACAGCCCTGCTGTCACTTGAGATTCTGATAGTTTTGTTCTTTATGTTATGCATAAGAACTGTTCTTGCACTAAGCGTTAATCCTACCAACTCTGACTGGAATACAGTAGGAAGTTTACCTAGTGGTTGGGTGATATTTACTGTACTTATGTTAAAGATTGAAAGCACAATGAAAGCAATAATAGATGGTGTGCAAACAATAAACAAGTATGTGCACAGTGTATTTTGCAGAAGTGTAGGTTAATGAAAATTAGTCATTAGATAAAGGTAAAGTAAGCTCATTTTTAAGTACTCAGCTTTAAATGTACCCATTCATTGAGCTTTTGTTCAAATTTTAATCTTAAACCTACAGCTGGTATACCTAAGCTCCTTCATTAAATCTTTTCGTCCATTTAAGGTGGGAAAATAGTCGAGGCAAATTAGGTTATCTAAAAGTATAAAATATAGTGGTTTAATTACAGTACATAGGCAATAAAAGTAAGCAAAAAATGTACGAGTACATTAATGTGTTTGGTACACTGTTCTGGGCGCGGTTCGGGGTGGCTGAATTTCTGAGCTTTTAAGCGTTTCGTTTAACGTACGTGAATTAAAATCTATCCTAAATTTCTAATATAGGCACCTTTAAAATCCTGAGCAAACTTGCAATAAATGGATATTGAAATTACCATTTTTTTAGAAATCAGTTACAATGTATGTTGCGCCATTATTTTAAAGCTGATACAATGAAAAAATTCTGCGTAGGAACACTTACTTACCTTTAAATCGTTGCACTATTTCGTCAGACATGCCCCATTGGGACAACAGGGCATCAATGTCCTTGTCCATTTTTTTTGAAGGACACAAAGGAACCAAAAACGCAATAGATACACAACACTGTGGAAGAGTGCATATAAGCTTGTAACCGAACGTATGTACCTAACCCGTAAAATGGCTGGCTTTAGTTGCAGACGCAAAATCAGCATTTTTAAAAGGAGAATGCATAATGTAAGATATTAAACTTTGCATTAAAGAACGCAGTTGTATTCTAAGGAGCTGATGCTCTTGAAATAAAATCCTGAATAAGTGGAGACAAAATAAGAAATTACACATTTGGAGTTAAACCTACAATAGTTCTATTCAATGCTAGGTCCCTTTCAACCAATTCCACGCATCATATTGGATTTAGACTTATTCACCGTTAGTCTAAAATCATATATTCATGAAGCAAAGCTCCTCATCTTCGAAATAAAGCAATGACGACTTGATCTACGACTGTGCATTTATCCCATCACAATAAACTTATTTCCTTATTACCAAACAAAACCTTACAAAACAAATGTATATTTTCTACGTACAAAAATAGACAGAGAAGCGCCAACGTTACCGTATAAATATAACTGCATGCATGTCTAAATGTTCCCAGGTGGAACCGAATGTTGGCTTACAGTTGGCACAATGTTGGGACCATATTCGAATATCGTACCCTGTTTTCTGATGTACAACCGTTATCCGACCAATATAGATCACGACTTTTAAGCCAATGTTGTTATTACGATATTTATCCAATATATCACCAATATTGTATTTACAACGTTGTATTATATGACATTGGTTAAATATAAGTTAATCGATCTCCTTACAACATTAGCTACACTATATTCCACCAATATAAATCCAATACAGGAAAATGTATATAGATAATTCAATATTCGTATGATATAGTATTATCATCTTTCATTCGATATTGTTACGACAATCTTTACTCAATATAGTGCCAATATTATATTTCTAACATTGTATTGTATAACATTGGCTAAATATAAGATAATCCATCTCCTTACAACATTAGCTGCACTATATTCCACCAATATAAATACAATACAGGAAAATCTATATAGATAATGCAATATTCGTATGATATAATATTATCATCTTTCATTCGATATTGTTACGACAATCTTTACTCAATATAGTGCCAATATTATATTTCTAACATTGTATTGTATAACATTGGCTAAATATAAGATAATCCATCTCCTTACAACATTAGCTGCACTATATTCCACCAATATAAATACAATACAGGAAAATCTATATAGATAATGCAATATTCGTATGATATAATATTATCATCTTTCATTCGATATTGTTACGACAATCTTTACTCAATATAGTGCCAATATTATATTTCTAACATTGTACTGTATAACATTGGCTAGATATAAGATAATCCATCTCCTTACAACATTAGCTGCACTATATTCCACCAATATAAATACAATACAGGA